CAGAGGGAGAAGCAGACTCCCCGCTGAGCAGGGAGTCCGATGCAGGACTCGATCCCGGGACTCCAGGATCATGACCTGAGCCGAAGGCAGTCGCCCAACCGAGCCACCCAGGCGCCCAACATCTTATTTAATTTCAACAAAACCTACATGACCAACCAATAGCTGAAGCTCAGTAGACACATACAATCATTTTTACATATACCTGCGTGCTTTCATAGGCCTGACACTTTTCTGGCCATTTATTAATTCCCCCCTTCTCTGGCTATATATTAATGAATAGGACCTTGCAGTTTAATTTCTTAGTTCGAAACAACTTTTTATAAAAATGGTGAGCGCTGCCATTATATTTAATCACATCATATACAGTACTGAACAAGCATATGTCTTATCTCAGACTCTAATGCTTACAGGGAGGACTGTATATGCCTGAAGTCCTTTGGCTAAATAAATCACTTAGCATGCACCAAAAATTTGTGCACATAAAGTTATATCTCAATAAATACATACAGATAAAAGTGATATTGGGGAGATGATGCAGAAAATCAAATGTTTGGAAAAAGATGATCTTTAAAAAGGGAAAATAGTCTTTTTCAATGAAATCTAAACACTCGGGACGCCTGGGTGGCTCAGTTGGTTAAGTGGCTGCCTTCGGCTCAGGTCATGATCCTAGGGTCCTGGGATTGAGCCCCACATTGGGCTCCCTGCTCAGCGGAGAGTCTGCTTCTCCCTCTCCCTCTGCCTGTTGCTCTGCCTACCTGTGTTCTCTCTCTATCTCTGTTAAATAAACAAATAAAAATCTTAAAAAAAAAAAAAAGAAATCTAAACACTTAAAGTTTTCCTTCTTAGATCAGTAATAAGACAAGGATGCCTGCTTTTGCAACTTCTACTCAACACTGTACTAGACGTTCTAGCCAAAGCAATTAGAAATAGAAATAAAAGTCATCCTAGTTAGAAAAGAAGAAGTAAAAGTGTCATTTGAAGATGACATGATCTCACATATAGAAAACCCTAAAGAATCCACAAGAAAAGTATTAGAGCTAATAAATCAATTCATCAAAATTACAAGACACAAGATCCCAACACACAAAAATCAGTTGTAGTTCTATACACTAGGAATGAACAATCTGAAAAGGAATCATGAAAACAATTCCATGAAGGATAGCATTAAAAGAGTAAATTATTTACAAATAAATTTACCCAAGGAGGTACAAGATTATATGCTGAAAACTGCAAAACATTGCTGAATGAAATTAAGAAGATATTAAAAAATGGAAAAACATGCTGTGTTCGTTCAAAGATAGGAAGAGAGCAAGAAAGAATTAAATAAGCAACAGAAACAAGACCACATCTGTGATGCGGTACAAATGGAAATGATACCTCTATTAATAAAAAGAAAAAACTATGAGTGAAACAAAAAGGTCAACAAAGTAAATGCTTCTATAAAGATACCACCCAATTTAAACTACTGTATGGTGAGAAGAAACAGCAAACTTACAGGCTACACAAAAGTGGGAACAAAATGTATCACATTTTTGAGACAGGATTTATACGGAAACAACAGAAAGGAAAGGAAATATGACCCAAAAGAAATGTGGGTGATGAGTATGAAGACACCATTAACAGAATATGAACTCTAAATGGATTTAAACTGCATATTTCTCAACATTACAAGTACTCCAAGAAATACATATTAAATAAAACATCAATTTTCATCCAAGAGCTGGGCAAAAATTAAAAAAATATAAAATACTATTGGTGAAGATGTCTAGAAACAGGCATTCTCAGATATTGTTCACTAGTGGTATAACACTATATCCATGAAACTTTTTTTTAAAAAATGTATACTTTGATCACGCAAAGAGAGAAGTACAAACTGGACCACAATTTATTATAGGTAATAACTGGAAAAGACCTAAATGTTCAAATGTCCTTAACAGTAAATCAGTAAAGTAAATTTATATTCATTTATCGTAATACTAGACAGCCATTAAAACAATGAAGTAGAGGGGCGCCTGGGTGGCTCAGTCGTTAAGCATCTGCCTTCGGCTCAGGTCATGATCCCAGGGTCCTGGGATTGCGCCCTGCATTGGGCTCCCCGCTCAGCGGGGCGCTTGCTTCTCCCTCCTCCCTCTGCCTGTTGCTCCCCCTGCTTGGGCTCGCTCTCTCTCTTTCTGTGTCAAACAAATAAATAAAATCTTTTAAAAAATATCCAACAATAGCATGGATACAAGATACACATCTAAAATATTACAGGGGACACCTCCCTCTGCCCCTCCTCCCCATTTGTTTTCTCTCTCTCTCAAATAAATAAAATCTTAAAAAGAATATACAGGGATATCATTATTTAGCAAAAAAAAAAATAATTTCTGAGATGGCTAATATAAAAATGCTTGATATAATCATGAACTGGTATCTTTATCCTTGTTATTCTGAAACAGTTTCTTTATGTAATTTGAGTCAGTATTACAAATTACATACATATTTTATCTTTTTGGTGATGCTTTCTCCCTTGAAATTATTTTTTTCTGATATAAATACAAGATTCACATGTGTTCATGTGTTATTTTTTAATGATTATAAAAGGTGTGCTTTTCAAGA